CCATCATCATCATCATCATCGTGATCATCATCGTCATCATCATCGTCATCATCATCGTCATCATCATCGTCCTCTCCATCGTCCTCGTCCGCGTCCTCGTCATCATCATCATCATCATCGTCGTCGTCCTCGTCATCGTCCTCGTCATCGTCATCGTCATCATCATCGTCATCATCATCATCAGCATCCTCGTCATCATCATCATTATCTATCATCATCATCATCATCATCGTCATCATCATCGTCATCATCATCGTCATCATCATCGTCATCATCATCGTCATCGTCCTCTCCATCGTCCTCGTCCTCGTCCTCGTCCTCGTCGTCATCATCATCATCATCATCATCGTCGTCCTCGTCATCGTCATCGTCATCGTCATCGTCATCATCATCATCATCATCATCATCATCCTCGTCATCATCATCATCATCATCATCATCATCATCATTCATCATTCATCATTCATCATTCATCATTCATCATCATCATCGTTATTCAATTACATTTTATCATTATTGGCAATTATTGTCATTATCACGAAAGCTAGCGTCAGCTCGCTAGAGTCTTCTTGCTTTAGCACGTATTCCGGGGCCCCCCAAGGACATCACGTGATTTTTCCCGCGAAAGGGCCCCCCCCTGCCCCCTCCCCCATATATATCATTGTTATATATCATATATCAATATATCATTGTTGCATCCTCGTTGGGACGAACAATGCCGCGACACGATGATGACAGTCCCTCCGCAACTCACCTCTTCCCTTCCTTCTTTCTCCTACCCCGCTAGCTTTCGTCATCCACCCCCGGCCTCAAGTGTATCTATCTATCTATCTATCTATCTATGTATCTATCTATCTATCTATCTATCTATCAATCTATCTATCTATGTATGTATGTATGTATGTATGTATGTATGTACATTATGTATGTATGTACATTGTGTATGTATGTACATTATGTATGTATGTACATTATGTATGTATGTATGTATGTATGTATGTTATGTATGTATGTATGTATGTATGTAGGTAGGTAGGTATGTATGTATGTATGTATGTGTGTGTGTATGTATGTATGTATGTATCTATGTATCTATCTATGTATGTATGTATGTCTCTATGTATGTATGTATGTATGTATCTATGTAGCTATGTAGCTATGTATCTATGTATCTATGTATCTATCTATCAATCAATCTATCTATCTATCTATCTATGTAATTATGTATCTATCTATCTATCTATCTATCTATCTATCTATCTATGTAATTATGTATCTATGTATCTATGTATCTATGTATCTATGTATCTATGTATCTATGTATCTATGTATCTATGTATCTATGTATCTATGTACCTATGTACCTATGTATCTATGTATCTATGTATCTATGTATCTATGTAGTATCTATATATATATGTACGTACGTACGTACGTACGTACGTACGTATGTATGCATGTATGCATGCATGCATGCACACAAATATATATGCATATATAAATCCAATAATCATAATAAAAATGATGATAATAACAATAATAAACACTAAATTTGTCCCCATCCGAGGATTTGGTTGTCAGTTCCTTGACCGAGGACGAGGTGGTCTGACTGGTGGTGAGGTGTTCCAGTCATTCAGCCTCTCACGTTGTGATCCTTGTGCCTTCCACTTGCACCATGGCCATCATGGTGCCGCATAGTTTAAGGTCTCTACAGGTCTCTACAGTCCGTCTTTACTCATCCAATATCCTCCAATACAAGCCAGGCAATCCGCAGCATGGTGTCATGCAGGGACATAAGGTCGGAGGCCTGGGTGCATAAAGCTTCAGGCACCATGGGCTTCATCGATTTAGTCATTGTAATTTTGGTTGAGATGGCAGAATCTCATCCGGTGCAAGGTGCTGACCATGTCAATGTAGTACTCTGCCTCCTGGGAGGGGCTTAAATGACCACGCCTGAATGGCAGCAGGGTAAAGTGTGCAGTTACAGTATCAACATTAGCTGATGAACCGCATGTCTTGTCCGAATTTGGAATCACTAAGGTATCTAAGGTTCAAGCATTTCCTCAGGGCTACAAGCAGCCAAGCGGAATGGATGGTAGGAAAAATCCTCACACACCACTGCAATGAGTTCAAATTCATGAAAAATCACGATCATGCTTGAGTAGAGAGTCTGGGCAGATCATGGGACGTGCCTCCGTCAGCAGGGTATCTGCATAGGCTTCCCAAACCTCTTTAACCATGGCCGAATACAGCCAACGTGAATACGGTACAGTGGTGTACTCTTGCACCTTGCATCACCTCGCATCATTGGTCACTGCCAAGCCTTTTTTTGATCCTCCGTTGCTGTCCATCGGTTGAAAGCATTGGAATTTGAAGCCTGGTCCAAGGCTCGGTGGCGGAACCTGTTTCAAGGACCTAGATTGGACGGTAATGTAGTAATATGTAGTAATGTTGTTGCCTGAATGGGCCATTGAGTTCGGTAAACATACTGTGACATACTGCGTAGATGCTCACGCAGCCATGTACGCCACACCAAGTCAGCCCAGCTTTGTCTGCATGTCTGCACGGGCCTTCTCGCTGGAGACGGCACGCTCCTGCTCGATTCTGGGTCGTGGACAGATCGTGAGTGGATCGCGTGCTGATCTTGCTGGCCACCACCCTGGTCTCACAGCCAACCATTGCCCAAGTGCAACCTAGCCTGGGAGTCAGCAAGGAGACGCGCCACAAAAAAGGCATGCAAGGCCTCCAAGCCTCAAAGGACCACGAGACATAGCACATTGCTTTGGGTCAGTTGCACCACACCCACTGTTTTGAGATGCTCCTTCAACACCAGGAAGGAGCGTGTCAGATTAGTCTCAATGCTGCTGTAAGTGACTCTACGAGTTTCTTCCATGTACAGCAACAGAAATCTGGGGCCACCACGGCGCTGCTCTGGCAACGAACTCCTTGCATTCCGCTTAGTTCAAATGCGTTGCAATGAACTCGCGGCCAACGGCACTAAGCTTCAACGATATTTGCCTCTGATCCTGAGCACCTGGCGCTTTGGCAGCCTCGGATGTTCGTCTATTTTGGTCCAATTGGCTTGGTGAATCAAAGGCTCACACTGCAAACAGAAGAGAATTGGTGTATGTAATTGGTGGAAGAAATTGAAGAAATGCACACTTCAGACATCTTCAGACATGCTACTTCTGCAAGTACTGGAGCAGCTCTTTCCACTGCCGGTGGCCTGGGCGGGGGGGAATATGGATGCCGCCACAAATATCAAACAAAAAATGTCGACCCTGCTCGGACGGCACCACCACCACCACCACAGCACCACCACCAGCAGCAGCAGCGACAACAACCTGCTGCCCGGCTTGCTGCAGAAAAAACAGCTAAGATGCTGACGTGATGTGAAATTTGCTTGGCACTCGAATGAGTTCCTCCCCCTCTTCAATTGCTTCCACAGCCACCAAGCCCGGAATGTTCAAAGGTGGTACCTAGAAGCAAATGCTGATGAGAAAACCGAAGAATATGAGATCTTCGAAAAGCGTAGCATCACCGAATTTTTTTAGCGGCATCCACACTGAGTTTCTCACGCAACCTCGCTTTATCTTCGGGCTTACCTCACAACATGCCAAAGGACAAGCAGTGCCAGCTGATCACATGTGACTCCATTACAGCCCCACGGACCCCACGCTTGTGAAAAGGACCCAATGCCCGCAGGATACTGCACGTGGCGGTATTGATGAATCGAGCGCTCAATAGTGGTCCGCAAGCTGGGATAATGTAATGTGCCAAAACTCTCTGAACTTGGCTTAAGGAGCTACAACCGGTGCAAATAGGACTCCGGACGAAGCAGCCTGCTTCTTTGGCAACTGCAATTAGGTTCTCCGCGGCAGCCTTTGTTCTTACAACTCATCACAACTCATGTCTCTGTGCATAGATATTGCCATACTGGGGAGTACTGATTACTGTACACATTCTTAGCATTGGTGCCGTTTCTATTATTGCTAGTGTTTTTTTAATGTTTTGTGATACATTTTACATCGTTTTATCATGAAGTTCTTAATCAAGGACCTTTGAAGAAGCGAAAGCTTCGCCTCTGCGTCCAAGCCAGCTTGACCTCAGGTATTGAGTTGCCGGCAAGCTTGACAGAACTAGCTAAAGTTGTTTTCAAGAAAAAAGTGAATGTTCCCACTGCAAAATTGGATTCCCTTTCGCTTGTCTCCAAGGTGCTGGATGTTTTGGCTAGGTCCGCCATTACTGCCAAGTTGTTTTTTGGATCCTCCAACTGCAATTTTCAGAGCTGGTGTTGTAGTCTTGTGGTCATGGATGCTACATACGTTAAAGCACATAAAGCTTAAAGTGGTATGTATGACTTACCTCTACCTAACAGGTTGCAAGTGCCAAAACCAAGGAGTAAATGTCAAATAATTGCAAACACAAAACCACATCTGTGAAAAGTGACTCTCACCTCAAAGTGCAGCCTCCTTCCAACGTATGGTGGGCAACTGTGCAGCAGAGTCTTGAAACAGAAAGGCCTTTAAGCGTCGGCACATACTCCACATTCCTACCCTTTCATTTGCATTCATTTGCAACCCTTCCTTGCGCTTGTGTCTACAAAGTTCTCAGATGTATTTCATGTTTTCAAAATACAACAGTTTGGTTCAAAACAACCTGCCCAACACAAAGCAGTTCTGTCCGAGGCCACAGAGTAGCGGTCGCGGGTGAACTTGGCCCTAGGAACGTGGCATCATGTGCCATGCAGTATGCGGAATGCGGAAGTATGCCTAATAGGATTAGTATGCCTAATCTCTCAAAACGCACGAGGATCAGGGTCCGGCGTCCATGTCTCTGCTGATCTCACCAACTCCACGAGATCACCCGGACTGGCACAGAGCAAAATAGAGCAAATCGAAAAGGGTATGACTCGGTATGACCTTGTAGGGTGTGGTGCTCTTGCACATGAGTATGAGACAAAAACCGTCAAAGCGAGAGACTGGCAAGGCTATCATCCCTTAAGGAACGAACACAACGGATTGACTGAGTCTGACAAAACGCTGAAAACCGATTTGTCAGGGCGTTTGACCCGACAAGAACTGAGCCTGGCATTTTCTGGAACGGACAGCTGCACCTGCATTCAAAACTGCAAATTGCAAACCCCGCATAGAAGGGTGTTGGTCAGTCTTCCTGTCTGATTGGAAGAAGAGACACCGTTCAAATGCAAAATTCAGCTACATCCAGGCCACGTGCAAAACCAGTGTTTTCTGGTACGTTCTACACCCGCTTAGTCGTTGTTCTATCAGCAAATTAGTTCCAGGTTTAGCCAGTGTCTATGCTCAGTCAGATGAGGAAGAAAACATCCCACAGGCCATTGTTTGTCGTTTGAGGGAGGCTATTAGTACCATAGTATACCGTGGTGATCCGTAGTGTCATGTGGTACTGCCAGTGGAAACCCATGATTCAAATTGACCTCTGCTCGTTTGACTAAAAAATGTGGGGGTGCCTGCTCCGAATCCGAAATGGAGACTTGCAACTTGGTCTCCCCAGGCCTTAGCCAACAAAATCCAACAATTCATATGCTGATATTCATATGATTGGCACACACCATGTCAAATCATTTCATATGCTGATGCGTTGGCACACCAAGGTCAAAGAACTCATGGATTGTCCCACTAGTTTGCCAAACTGTTGCTTCATGTCAGTGCCGGTCGGCGAGCACCCTTTGTTTTTCTACTACAATCACGAACCCCTTCCAATTTGTAGATCCTCGCCGTGCCCCAATAGTTCATATCAATTAATCGATAAATGGGGTCCCGACCTCACCCCCTTTAATTTCAAGCGAATCCAAATCTTCGATTTGAGTGGATTTTGGCACTTGTAGATTTCACAACCGCAAAATGAAAGAAAATGCCGAAAAGTACTTAGCTGCCCAAAAAATGGTGTTCGAATGTGTTCGACTAAAATCATTCTTGGAATCTAGAGGTCACTACCAGTCATCAAAGTTTGGGACACCTGAGATTCAAAAATATCAATCCCACAAAAGTTTCTGCGTTGCAATCCCTGAAGCCTCAGGCCTTGACAACATTCTGATACAGCCCAGTGCCAAGTGGCTTAATGGTAGCCGGAACCAAGAGTTGTAATTTGCCGGTGTCACCACCTGCTGACACAAGCACCGCAATTTTTGCACATCAACACATCGGATCTCACCCGCTGAAACCAGCATGATTGCTCAACACAATCCAGCCATGATTCAATGTGATTCATTCAATTCACTTACATATTCCAACAATTACTTTGTCCCAAACCTGGTGAACTCAGCTGTCGGTTGGTCATGTCATAGAGGGGCTGGTTCCTGAGTCGCCATCCAAACTGGGAGAGAGAGAGAGAGACAGAGACAGACAGAGAGAGAGAGAGAGAAAAGAAGAAAGAAAGAAAGAAAGAAAGAAAGAAAGAAAGAAAGAGAGAAAGAAAGAAAGAAAGAAAGAAAGAGAGAGAAAGAAAGAAAGAAAGAGAGAGAAAGAAAGAAAGAAAGAAAGAGAGAGAGAGAGAGAGAAAGAAAGAAAGAGAGATCGAGAGAAAGAAAGAAAGAGAGAGAGAGAGAAAGAAAGAAAGAGAGAGAGAGAGAGAAAGAAAGAAAGAGAGAGAGATAAAGAAAGAAAGAGAGAGAGAGAGAGAAAGAAAGAGAGAGAGAGAGAGAAAGAAAGAGAGAGAGAGAGAGAAAGAAAGAGAGAGAGAGAGAGAAAGAAAGAGAGAGAGAGAGAAAGAAAGAAAGAAAGAAAGAGAGAGAGAGAAAGAGAGAGAGAGAGAGAGAGCGCCTACTGCATCATTCCATATTGCAGCATATATGCTCTGACACTTAGCTTTGCTAATTTGTTCTTGTTTTCCTCACCATTTGCCGTCGAGGCACTTTAGGATGACGCATGTCCAAGGCCCTCCCTCTTCCTTGCTTATGCGCAACCGGTCTCCGACCTCGCAAATTCACAAACTCAACAGGCGCACTTTGAGTCATGGTGTCCTTACTGCAAGCTCATTTCAAATTGTTTAAGGCCGACGCAGCTGCCTCCACTGGGACCAAAATGTGAAGTTCCGATTCTTCATCTACATCAACAGCTAACCTCAACCCAAAACGCAAGAGGACAAATTCTAGCAACGAAAAAAATGAGAAAAGGAATGAGTGACAAATGCCGAGTGACTTTGTGACCCCTGGGCGCACATTCTTTGGCACCTCCACGACAACTTGCAGCCTGAACGGGCCGGCTTGCATGTTCAATACAAAATACACCATATGTTTTGTCAAAATGCTGTAAACAGTGCTTGTCCAATTTTCAGGCAAGCAACTTTTTAGGCAACTGCAGTGGATTTTCACCTTCTGGTGCTGCCCCCATGGCTCACTGAAGCTGCATTTCAGCCAGCTGAATCCAAGAAAACATTGCAAACATGGTGCGCATCACGAGAAAAAAAGGAAATATGCAATGCCAAACTCCACAGCGAAAAACCCTACATAGCGCAACCTTCAGAATGCAAATTTTGGACAAACACATCCCCACACCTATCAAAGTATCAAACACATCAGAAGCGGCACCTTGCCCAAAAGGATTGCACCAGTTCCAAGAAGTCACAACCAAAGACCAAAACAATTTGAATAGCATGCTCATAGAATTTTGAAAGAAACAGGCGCGGAAAAGAAAATTGTATACAAAATCAGCAAACGTTCAACATCATTCAATGAACGCCCTTGCCTTATCACGTGTTTGGTTCACTTTTTTTGGGCATACAAATTCCAACTTCTTGGCGGGCACAACGGTGCTGAGGTGCTGGCGAAGTGAAAGAACCACCCAAGACACACGGATTAAAACATTGCTGGAAAACAAGGGGCCGCTCGTTAGGATGATGGTCTTGATTAGCATTCACGCCATGGTGTCAACCACATGTCAACCACTCATCATCAAGTAGTTGGCACATGTAACAGCTCGGAATGATGTGAATTCACGGGTGAAAAACTGCCGGGCACAAAACGCCGCATTTTTCGGGTAATGCGGCCCTTGGGTCGCCAAAGCAAAATCTCTGTTGCCGGGTTTCGGTGTCGACAAAAAATGCACGAGACTGTAGATAAAATTCGCTTTTGGCCAAATAATTGTTTTTCGCTGCAGACACGTGACACTTTTGGAAGATGCGGTCGGAAAAACGCGCATCAGATTGTGGCGAGAGCTCGGTGTCAGATAAAAATATAAGAAATTTGCATGTTCGGAGCACTTTTGGCAGATCACGGCAGCAAAACGCGCGCCATTCTGTAGCTAGAGTTCGAGTTGCACCTCAAAATCGCACAAAATTTAAAGGATCCGTTTTTGGAAGATGAAACTGTTAAAACGCGCGCGAAACTGTAGCGAAAAAATGATTTGCTTTCACAGAATTCGAAATCGCAAAAAAACAGAACCTTTCTGGAAAATGAAGCTGGCAAAACCCGCAGGAGACTGTAGCAAGACCTCGGTTTTCACTTCAAAATCGGAAAAAACTGGGTGGGCCGGAGCACTATCAACAGAGTGGTTAGAAGGGGCGGCGGATTTGATCCCTGATAAAAAAAATACAGTAACATCCTAATCAACAAAATGGTCACACGGGGTGGCGGATTTGATCCCTCATGAAAATAAGTTGAAGATAAAATCCGGTTTAACATTCTGGTCAGAAGTAATGGGATCTCGCATGAAGATAAGCTGAGGGTACTATCAAAGCGGAATAATTTGAAGGTAATATCCCAGTCAACATGGTGGTCAAAAAGGGTGAGGACTTGATCTCTCATGAAAATACGTTGAAGGTAAAATCCCAGTCAACAGAGTGGTCAGAATGGGCGGCGGATTCGATCCTTGATAAAAAAAATGGAAGGTAAACAGAGTGGTCAGAGGGGGTGACGAATTTGATTGCCTATGAGGATAAGTTGAAAATAAAATCCGAATTAACATGGTGGTCAGAGGGGGTGGCGGACTTGATCCCGCATGAAGATAAGTTGAAGGTAGTATCCCATTCCGCATAGTTGTCTGGAGGGGTAGGGGACCGGATCCCTTGCGGCAATAAGTTGAAGGTAATATCCCAATCAAACACGGTGGTCAGAGGGTGGCAGATTTGATCCTTCCATGAAAATAAATTGAAGATATATAAATTCCATTAAATTCCAGTTTAACACAATTGTCAAAGGACGTGGGGGTTTGATCCTCCATGAAAACAAGTTCAAGGTAGTGTCCCATTCAACATAGTTGATCAGGCGGCGGGCCTAATCACTCATGAAGATGAGTTGAAGGTAATATCCACGCAACTTAATTGTCAAAGGGGGTGTCAGATTTATTCCCTAAAAAAAAATAAAGGTAAAACCCAATCATGAAATTGATTAAAAGGAATCGCAGATGTGATCCCTCATGAAAAAAGTTGAAGGTGGTATTCAATGCAACAAAGTTGTCACAGAGGTGGCGCAATTCATCCTGTATAAAAATAAGTTGCAAATCCCAATCAGGGGGTGGCGGATTTGATCCGCTACAAAGAAATATTGAAACTAATATCCCAAGCAACATGGTGGGCAGAGAGGGTGGCGGATGATTTCAACCGTGATGAAAATAATTTGCAGGCAACCGTCCATTGGATATAGTTGTCAAGGGGGGATGGCGGATTTGATCTTTTGTGATTTATTTGTTTCTGTTGTGCACATTTTCGTCTCTGAAACGCAGAGTTTAATCTCTGATGCACCGGGTTTGGGTCGCAGCTCTTAATTCCTGATGTGCGGGGTTTAACTACCGATGCGGTGGTTTTAGCTGCTGACGCACGGGAGAGAGCAAGACAGGTTGGGGGCTCTGGCAGGCAACCGCTTTCCGCAAGGGATGGACTATGAAAGTGATCCACCAATTTCCTTCGGTCTCTATCGCGATGGAGTACCCTCCTTCTTGAGACAGGCAGCCTCAAAGTAGTGAGCATGACGTGTTCTCGAATAGTATGCGACTGGTGAAGGCGAACATGAACGTGAACATCGTGAACAAGATCTCGTCGGTTCCGGTTCGGGCGAATGTGGTGGTCCCGCGGGAATACTATGCATGTGACTGGTTCATGGCTTCGGTTCGGGTTCGCTTTTGTTGTTTTTCTGGTTGTGTTGGTCGCGAAAGAATAGTATGAGACTGGGGAACGTGAACGGAACTGTTCGGCTCGGGTTCGGGTTTGGGTTCGGGTTCTGTCTGTTTTGGTTTATCTTGGTCCCGAAAAAAATATAGAGTATGCATGCGACGGATGAGCGTGAACATGAACGCGGCCTGTTTTCCTCGCACGAGAACAATAGTATGCATATGCCTGGTGAAGGTGAAGCTGAACGTGAACGGGAATTGTTCGGTTCGGGTTCGGGTTCGGGTTGGCTTTGTTTTTGGCGAAGAAAAAATGTGTGTGATGGGTGAACGTGAACGGGAACTGTTCGGTTCGGGTTCGGGTTCGGGTTCGGGTTCAATCTGTTTTCGGCTTCGGGTGGGGCGGGAAATGTCAAATCATTAATTTATTCATTAAATAAAATGAATATATGAGGGGAAAAAAAAATCGATGGTTTCAGATCTTGCAGCACTGGCAACAAGCCTTTCTATTTTTTTGTTTACATTTTTGTTACAAAACATGGAACACACTGATACTTTTCCGGGTTCGATACTTGGTATTGAATACCGCTTTTATCGTAACGACACCGCCTTGGCCATTGATGAACCAGTACCAATTTCGTACGAGCACCACGGAGGGTCCAAAAATCCTTTGACATGTGAAAATTACGTGTCGTTGAAATGATTTTCGTACAAAATTCAAACACTGATAAACCTGTTGCCAATAATTTAAGTTGTTGAACCATTTTTCCTCTCAAACCAAATCATCTTATATTGTTTTCCAACAACGGAGCGAAGATATGTCAAAAATGCAGAGTAAAACTTTTTTTTTCCCACACATTGCGTGTTTCCAATCCAACAGCGCCCCGTGCGACACAGCCTTGACCAACGACGAACTGAGTACACACCCTTGCCGCACCAGCCGTTCTCCGTACAGAATTTTCAGAAAATGCACTAGGTGTGCCGAAACACTATGTAAGCAAAATTGGCTATAAAGCCTTACCATCTAGACTCTAGACGGTCAAACCCTTGCGATGATCCAATTTGATTATCCAAACGCGCGTGTTTCCGGATTTTTTTGTCAACGACCTGAGTTGCAATGACTGGATGTTCTTCAAAATGCCGAACTGGCCGGAACCCATGTATTTCAGGTTAATTTGTCAAATACCATTTCGGCGTAACCCCACGTCTAATAAGCCAAACATGTATAAAGGATTATGAGGCAAACTGAGGCTAACAATCCGACCGCGTTTCTCGTGAAAATTGCCATCATTTTTTCGCTGACATGCTGACACAATTTTGTGCCAAAACAAAAAAAAGGCCCTGAAGCAGGGCGCCGTGGAAATGGATTCGCGGAGAAACGAAAAACGAACCGGGGCCGTTGTGGAACAACTCGGCGACCACCTGCACCGCCCAGTGGTACATCAATGTCTACTGTCAGGATGTTTGGTTTTTTTCCTGGTAAACGGGCAGGTTCTGAAAACGACTCCATTTTCGAGCACATTTTTTGAACGGCAATTATGTTGACACGTCTTTCCAAGTGGCTAATAATGGCTACGTCTTGCGTAATTTTCAGCTTTGCCAGCCCCTTTCCAACTTACGTTCAAATATATACGTCCAAATTAATTTTGTTGCCGAGCATGTGGTTCGGTTTGAAACCTAGCTGGCCCAGTTGCTTTCACAATGTCTTTGTTGAAAGATGACATGTGACTGCCATGCACTTATTCATACGTGCCAAACATCCCCAGTATATCGCCTTACTTCAATCAACAAGCAAGGCTGCTGCGCACGATATTGAAGACGTCCTGGTTTCCATGCATGACTCGGTGCATGGCTGCATTATTTATTTTTCGATCAGGGTTCAGATAAGGGGGGAGGAGTTGTGCAGAGGCTTTTGGTAGGTACAAAATGCAGTGCATACGGTGCGCAACCACAAAATTCAGTGCATGGTAACGTTTTGCAGCTACAAAATAGAGAACCCAACCTTTTCCGACTCGGAAAATAATTCAAAATCAGCACCACAAAATCCAATGCATCTGAAGTTAAAAAATAGCTGAAAATCGAAATTGCTAACATAATTTTTCCCAATGACATTTTGTAGTTGGGTCTATGCCATCCAAACTTCCGACCAACATAATTTCGGAGAAAATTTTGTAGTTGTCAATGATTGAATTTAGTTGGATCAAGTGTTGACCCTGTGCGTTTGTTAGGTGGCATTCTGTAGTTTCATGATCTGTTTGTGTCCATGTACATGTCACGCACTGTTTCCTTTTTTCCACCTTTCTC